CTAATTAGCATATTTCCCTTTTATTAGTATAGATATGTTTCTATTGTGTTCAGAGAGAGGGAGAGGGAGAGAAAGATAGAAACATTAATGATGATAGAGAACCACTGGTTGGCTGCCTCCTGCAGGCCCCTTACTAGGGATTGAGCGAGAAACCCAGGCATGTGCCCTCAACGGGAATCGAACCATGACTTTCTGGTTTACAGGCTGACACTCAATTAGCTAGGCTATTTTATTTTTAAGATATTTTTATTGTGATAAAATTTACATAACATAAAACTTACCATTGTAACCATTTTTAAGTGTACTGTACAATCATCGCCAACATCCTTTTCCAGAACTGTTTCATCTTCCTAAACTGACACTCTGTCCCCATCAAATACTAACTCCCATTCTCCCTCCCTCAACCCCTGGCAACCATCCTCTACTTTCTGTCTCTATGACTGACTACTCTAGGTGCTCCATTCAACTGGAATCCTGCAATATTTATTGTTTTGTGACCAGCTTATTTCACTTAGCATAATGTCTTCACCCATGTTATAGCATGTGTCAGAATTTCCTTACTTTTCAGGCTGAATAATGTTCTTTGTATGTCTGTACCATATTTTGCTTATCCATTCATCTGTGGACAAATACTTGGATTGCTTCCACCTTTTACCTATTGTGAATAATGGTGTTATGAACATGGACATAAAATAAACTGTTCCAGGCCCTGCTTTCCCTTCCTGTGGGAATATACCCAGAAATGGAATTATTAAATAATATGGCAGTTCTATGTTTAATTTCTAGAGAAATTGCCATACTGTTTCCACAGTTGTACCATTTTACAATTGCACACAGATTCTAATTTCTCCACATCTTTGCCAACACTTATTATTTTCTGTGGTGGTTTTTTTTGTTTTTTTTTTTCATAGTAGCCATCCTAATGGCAGTGAAGTAACATCTATTCTATTTTTGTAATGGATTTATCAATACTTGATTTTCTTGTTTAATTTGTTTTTTAAACATCAATTGCCTGTCTCCCCAAACTAGCTGCATGATGGCAAGGAGCCAAGGAGGCCTTGTTCACTGCCATAACCCCAACAGTACCCAGCACATAACACACATTTGTTGAATGAATGAAATATCTCAGGGCTACCAACTTTAGCTCTACCACAGTTCTCCTCCTTTCATCTCCCCTAAGATCTACAGGAGCTAAGAGCTCCCTTCTGCTACTTTGACAAACCAGAAGACCCTGAAGATTCTTACAACAAATTAGTGCTATTCCCTGTGAAATACAAAGAAATAAAGATATTGTTACATTGAAACCTTGAGAGCACCCAGGGCTTTTGTGAACATTCTGCTGAGGCTATCATTAAAACAGAGAGAAGAGTGCTGGGCTTCTCTTGGAAGTTCTTGGTAGCTACTCAAATGCAAACATAAAAGAGGCAACCCCCTGAAAGAGAATAAACTCAACTGGCTAAGAGTTAAAACCATAAAGCCTTTAACCAGAAAAGCAAATTGTGCAATCATTTCTTCTGCGTTAACTATGCTTTTTAAAGACTTTTCTTTCCCCCCAAAACGGCTGGCATATTGTTTCTCGATTTCACACCCCAAATACATATGCTTGCTGTCACCTGTTTTCTTTTCTTCCCACAGCAACAAAAGACGAGTTTCTCAGCTCCCTTGCTACTACACGTGACCATGTAACTAAAAACCAGCCAATTATATATGTGCAGCAAGTTGCATGTAATTATGCACAACGCCTTTAGAGGGAAGATATATACCCTTTTTCTCTTCCTTTTAGTTAGCTGGAACATGAACATCAAGGCTGGAAGCTGAGCAGTTATCTTAGACAATGCAGTGGCATGCGGAACAGGAAGAAAGATACAGCATGCCTAATGACTGAGAATCTGCCACGCCACTCCTGGTTGCCTACCTCCAGATTCCTTTATGTGAGAAAGAACCAAAATCTGCTCGAGCCATTGTTATTTTAGGTCTCTGTTACTGGAAGCCTACTTAGCTCTAATCCACACAGAATTGATCCAGTAAGATTACAGGAGAACCCAATCACAGATATAAGGTCTTCCTAAATATGGATGACAATGTAGATTGCTCCCTAAAAGTCTGTGTTGCTTTGTGCTGATGCCAAGCCCAGCTTGGCCAATGTGGCGAGGGTATGGTAGTGATCTGTCATACTGGGGCAGAAGATAGGACAACTTAATACCAGCAATAATGAGGATAATAAAAACTCAAATAGCGATGACTAACATTTATTGAGTACTTATTATATCCCAGGCACTGAGACAAAGGGCTTTACATGTACTATCTCATTTTATTTTCACAACAGTCTTGAGATTTAGAGGAGATAAATCCTGGTCACACAAATGATGAGTGATAGAATGAGAATTTGAGTCTAGGGATGTCTGATTGCTAAGACTACATGCCTTACATGGCATCCAAATAGAATATCCATTACACTTCCTCTGCCCCCACATAAAAGAATGAGGTGGCAGGCTTCTCCTGAGGCACAACACTTCTTTACCAAGGAAAACCTTCACCACATTCCCCCAACCCACAATCAAAGACACATCAACTATGTCCCCTAATACCCCAAATGAATGGCCAGCTGTGAATTCTTCCATTTTAGGTCCATGATGTCTCTCAGTCATTAAATTTATTGGATCATTTTTACCTTACAGCCATTTAATTCCAATTGGAACACAGCTATTATTTAAAAACCAACCTATTTTTATGTTTGTTTCAGAGCTTTATTTCACATTTATGTTAATATCAATATTTCAAAGCTATTTTCTATGATTTAAGCTCTTCTGGCCCCATGTGCTACAATAACATAATGAAATCTGTTCCAGTTCATCAGACAGTTGGTATTTGACAGGAGAACACCAATGCATCTAAGAGCCATGGCTTATTTATGGCTATCAAATGACCCTCCTGGTGGGAATGCCTCAATGCAAAACAGGTTTCACTTTACATAAAGTTGGACTTACCAACTATTTGATCAAGTCATTTTATATCATGTTCTAGCCTCAATTTCCCTATCTATAAAATGAGGATAATAATGTTACTTTCTTAAGAGTGATTAGCAGCATCCAGTGAGATTATTCTTGTTAATTACTTGGCACAGTGCCTGGCACAGTAAGTGCTCAATAAGAGGTAGCTACTTTTAAAAATTGTAATCTGTGACTGGCACAATCTGAATGAATGAAGGTCTCAGTGAACCAATGTGTTAAATTACCAAACAACTTCTCAACAACCGAAGAATGAAGAAGAAAATAGTCACTACTATGCTGACTGGAAAGATTACTCAATGTAGCTGATTCTAAATCCAGACACTTTATAAAAGCTGGATGGCTCTAAATCTGACATCTTATCTTGACTCAGCATAATCGATGCCATTACTAACCAGCATGGACGTTTTATTAGCCTTCATTTGGTATTTAATCCCCCAGGTTATTATTATTCTCACTTTTTTGTTAATTTATTTATTTCATATTTAATATTATTTTGTGTTAGTTTCAGATGTACAGCATAAAGGTTAGACTGAAGTATGGTACCTATTTGCTTTGTTTAACAATGGACAGGTTACTTTGATTTTCTAAATTGTATAAGTCATCCCATTCGATTGAATGCCTTATCGATTGAATGACTATTCCATTGATTGTTATCATACTGGTCTTAGAGAGCACATTCTACTGTACCTGGAAACAGGACAGCTCAATTACCCTAAATTGTTTTAGTGGCCACAGGTGGTGTGTTCCAGCTGCCTCAGTGGTCCCGAGACCAGGACAGCACAATTACTCTAAATTGTCCTGACAACTCAGTGGTCGGGAGACCCGAGGGCTCTAGATAACGTGTTTCTATCAACTCAGTGATCCGGAGACCCAAAACTGTAATTTCGATAACATGCCTAAGTTTAACCCAGGTTACCCAAGGACTCTAGATAATGTATTTCTGTCAATTCAGTGACCCCGAGACCCGAAACTGTAATTAACATGCTTAATTCTGCTTCTGTAATCTGCTTTTTTTCCGAGCCAGTTGCCTCATTCCAAACCCTGAGATGTAATCAATACCTTTGTGATTTTTGTCTGGTTTTGCCACCATCTTATTGCTATGAGATTTGGGAATGGCCCCTCATAGTCCCGGATTGCAATAAATATGACTCTTTAATTCGACTTCTTGAGGCGCCCTTCTGTGATTTGCGGGGTACATTACAACAAGACAATCATATACTTTACAAAGTGTTCCCTAATATTTCCAGACCCTCCTGGCACCGTACATAGCACAATATTATTGACTATATTCCCTATGCTGTACTTTATAGTCCACGACTTCTGTAACTACCAATTTGTACTTCTTAAATCTTCACATTTTCACCCAATCCCCCAATACCCTTCCCCTCTGGCAATCATCAGTCTGTTTTCTGTATCCATGAGTCTGTTTCTGTTTTGTTTGTTTGTTTATATTGTTCTTTGGGTTTCACATATAAGTGAAATCATTCTTAGGTTGTCTTCAGTGGTGGTTTCAAGTCAGGAACATTAACTGGGATTTTTTTCCATTTTCTGCCCCCACCCCCTTTTTTTCTGTGATGGTGTAAAGTAGTCAGGGGAGAGCACTATCTTTGATCTTCTATTCCCCACTGGGAGACATTTATGCAAGGCCCAGGCAACAAAATAATTTCTAACATTCATTACCACAGACATTTGACAAAATACCCTTAATTTTTAATCCATGAAACTCAGTTGAGTCAGGCTGTGTTTTCAGAAACACATCTGCTTTAAGCATTTATTCCTGCAAGCTTTATCTTGCACCCTTTCCAATTGCAAATGCAAGACACCACTAGTTCTATTAATAAAAATCTCCAAAATAGCTGAGATAAATTGAACATTTCACTATCAGGCATTTGCCCCTAACCCAAATCTTGATCTCCGAGAAAAAAAGCAGCAGTCTTCCATTGTTAATAATACCCATTCGAGGAGAATACCCTTTTAAAATATGCTTACTGTGATTTTCCAAGTGCATTTGCTATTTGGAGGGTACACTCCAGGAAAACCTTCGCTGCCAATAAATCCAGACTCTCCAGTAAGAACACCACCACATGTGAAAACAGATCTGTGAAATAGAAGGGAAACAATTTGAAATGTCAACTTCAGAAGATACAGTCTAGTAATATGGATGAAGTTAATATGGATTAATAAATGCCTGCACCATATAAAGGATTTGCTAGCTCTCAGAGTATAGCCCGATAAAACATTCCATCCAGCTGCCACCTGTCTCCATCATAATAATACAAGCTCGATAGTTCTATCATCCTTCCATCCATCCATCCATCCACCCATCCATCCACATGAAACCAAGTCCTCTACGCAGTGGTAAAATGATATAGGAAAATGGTAAATGGAAAATGTAACTAGGGGCAATGAGAGAAAGAAGATGAAAACTAGGCCGAGTGATGTGCATGGTTTAGAAATAGACAAGCAACTGGTTAATATAAAAAAGTTTCTCATCCCCTTTTCTGAAAATCGTTGGGCATTGGCAGACCCTCCCATTGAAAAGGTAGGTTGATGAAGGAGGTGCCAAAGTTGGCCATGAGTGAGTCCCTCGACCCTGGTGCTGGAGCCGCCTGGAAGCTCAGAGGTTATGTTTCAGGGAGCGGGAGAGGCTCGCAGGGCAATAGAGCACCATGCAACTCAAGTTTCTCCCTAGGCTTAATTAAGTCTTTCGCCCCAGGAAGAAACAGAAGCCTAAATCCACAGATTTGGGTCCTAAGGCTTTCACGCGGGAGGGAAGACGCTGGTCAGATGACGCCCTCGCCACGTGGTGGCCGGGCCAACCTAGCGGCCAGCGGCGGCCAGGGATGGGCGCAGCCAGAGCCCCACGCCCGGACCCGGGCCTGGGGACAGACCAAGGCTGGGTCCCTGGGCGCCCGGAGCGGACTGAGTAAAGCTGCGCCCGAGGCTGCAGGGACAGAGCGAGGGAGGAAAGAGGGAGAAGGCGGGGCGCTTTACCTCTCCCGAGGCTGCTGCCCGGACTGCTGGGCCGCCAGCAGCAGGCCGAGCACAGCCCAGGTGCCCGCGCCGCTCATGGCCGGTGGAGACACTCCGGGCCGCCCGCCCTGCGCAGCGCAGGCCGGCTGCGCCCCTGGCTCACACCCGGCGCTCACTGGAGACACACACGCGCTCGGCCGCGGGGCAGCCCAGGTATGCGAGGCTGGAGGGGTCCGGGAGCTTTTAAAGGCGATTACGGTGCAGCCTGACTCGACGATTCCTTTCCCAAAGGAGTTGCTGGCAGCCACTGGCCACTGCTGAATGTCCTGTTTGTTCTCGGAGGCGGGAGGGGCGGCTCCCGTGCCGCAGCCGCCTCCTCTCCGGGTGGAGCGGGCCGGCGTCTCCTCCCCCGCACCTGGGACCCGCAGCCCTGTCTCATCCCGCCTGCAGGCCTGTGGGGAGATGGAAAGGAAACCCTTCCTTCGCCCACCGCCTCCCATTGGTGCCCAAGCGAGACCTGGCTCAGTGATCCACAGATCACAGGGTGGGGTGATGTTTTTCCCTAGCTGCATAATACTTTTTTAAAAAAGTATTAGCGCCTGCTAGAAAACCTGGGGTTCTTTCTTTATTTCTGTCTCCTTCAACCAGCCCACATCTAAGGCAAGAAAAGGGAAAAATAGAAGAGGGATTGTATCAGATTTTAACTCTTCTCTGTTTTACTGGCATGATAAGTGCTTCCTGATAACTAGGGACGAAAAACAAGAAGAGAATGTGTTTATTGAGATTTTCAACACCGATGCCAACACAAGAGGAATATGGCTGAATTTAGATGCTTCATTTGGGTTGTTCACCTTTATAAGCAAAAAAACCAAAAACATTAAGTTAGTACTTATCAAGACTCCATTTCTAATAATGAGTTACAATATTAAGAACATAAACACTCCTGGCAAGGAATAAGTAAAAACTAGCTGCAGGGAATGATGACTTTTAACAGTGGAGGAACCCAGGAACTAATAGAAGGAACCAGAATTTCCCTGTGGAGTTTACATTATTTTACTATTTTTAAAATAGAGAAGGAAAAGAACAGCAAGAACTGCAACTTTTAATTTTTTTTCTAAAGGCACCACACCCTGTATGACATTTAAAAAGGGGGGGATTATAGAATTTGGCAGACTACTTTATATCCTGAAATATACTCCCTCAACCCAATAAAAATTGCTTTAAAACAGCAAAGAGCAAAATAAATGATTGTTTATTTTGCACTCATTTCAAGAATATGTTATCCAATAATATTAATGTTTTAGATATTTTATTTAAAAGTCATATTTTAAATTATAAAATGAAAATATTGCTCAAATTACTTTCTGGTAATGATTTCAAATGGTCATAGTCAGAAAATACTTCATTCTTAGGAGTAAGCTAAGTTTTCAAAATTTGAAATTAAAAGACAAAATATTAAACATGCCTAAATGGATAGAAAACTACTTGAGCATAAATATGCAACAGTATTTCTTTCTTGTTAAAAGATTTTAAAATTTTTACTTTAGAGAGAGAGAAAGAAATATTGATTGGCTGTCTCCTGCACCTGCCCTGACCAGGGATCGAACCCACAACCTAGGTATGTGCCCTGATGGGGAATACAGCCTGCTGCCACCTTTTGGTGTACAGGACAACACTCCAACCAACTAAGCCACAACTGTGTTCATATCCTCACTAAAGAGTTAGGATTCCAACACTGATGGTCCTGTTGTTGAGACACATTAGAAAGACATTAATGTCACCATGTGGTATTAAAAGTATACCAAAACACATATTATTTGGTCTTACAAACACACATTTGACTTGGAACTACAGTTCTGAACAAAATTATAAACCTTAAATGTGCTGAGAAGCTTAATGTGTTAAAATTGAGATACACCCAAGTGGACTCTGAAAGTGTGTTTAAAGTCCACTTCTGTGAGACCAATTTTTGGATTATAGACAAGTAGAATTGATATGGGCAGGGAGCCACAGAACTTCAGGCAGTAGGAAAAGGGTGAGGTAGAGAGGACAAAAACTCTGTGGGTGGATTCTCCAAAGAAAAGTAGAGTGGTAGGTGGAATGATCCTTGTGATCCAAAGTATATATAATTCAGTCCTCTAATTCCCCTTTCCTCTGGCAACCAACGGAGGTGGTATTCTGTGTCTATGTCTGTTTTAATTTTGTTTGTTCATTTATTTTGTTCTTTGGATTCCACATTTTTTTTTATCCAGTCATCTGTTTATGGGCACTTGGGTTGCTTTCATATCTTGGTGATTGTAAACAATGCCGCAATGAACATAGGAGTGCATATACTAGTATTCTTTCGAATTAGTGTTTTGGGTTTCGTCAGATAAATCCCCAGAAGTGGATTTGCTGGGTCATAAGACAGATCCATTTTTAATTTTTTGAGGAACTGAATGCAACTTTTTAGATACTATCAACATTTAGGAATTCCCCATAATCTTTGAATTCTGGTGCATAAATCCAAGAGTAGATATTCTTGTGAAGAAGAATTTTTTGAATTAAAAGTTTGATTTTTTTTTTTATGTCTGTGAACATACATTAGGAAGTACACCTCCCCCACTTTCTCCCAAGAATTAAATGTTGGAAAGGAATTGTACTGGTCCAGCTTCTTAGACAAACAACTGAGTCCACTCAGACTAGTTCAAGCAGTAAAAGAGACACATTTAAAAATAGAAGGTAGTTCACATTACCATTAAGAGACTTAAAGAAACTGTTTTCTAGAACAATGGCCAAACTTTCACTATAGAAATGGCCCAGTGGGAAATCTGTTGCCATTGCTGCCACCAAGACTAAGCACTAAATGCAAGTATTCCAACTTGCTGCAATTGTGACTGCTATGAGCATATTGGATGCATTTTTGACCTGGAAAACTCAACCTGCAACACTCCTGCACCAAAAGCCAGACAGCTCTGTTGCCACCTGTGGAACAAAACTTCATCACAGACCCCCATTCCTCATGCTGACCTCTTGAATCAAAGTCTCATATGCAAGTATATATGATTGGGAATGTCTGTGTCACATGGCTGCATCTCTGATGCAAGGAAGGCTAAGAATTCAACACTTTGTGGGGGATAATTCAACTGTAGAAATGCCCTCCAAATATTAAAAAGCTACTGAGAACACAATGGGCAGGCGCAGTATGATTAATGCCCATGACAGGGATCTATAAAGTTCAGTTAGCCTGTCTCCTTACATCCACTTGCTGAGAAAAACAGTCCCAAGTGAGTCTTTATGTATAAGGATAAGGGGCAATGTAATGTCCATTAAATGAAATCAGCTGCACTCATCTGTCCATTCTGGACAAAGGAGTGAACTGCTTTTTGCTGATTTGGAATAAAAATTTGTCCAATGAAGATACTCCATAATGAATCAACATCATCATCCCTAATTATTCTTGAGCACTTGTTATGAGCACATCAGATGCATTACACCAGGAACTGTGATAAGTGCTTTACAGTAATATTTCATTTAATTCTCTCAAAAACCCTGTGAAGTAAGAACAATTATCACCATTTAACAAATGAGGATTCTGACATTTATAGAGGTTAACTACGAATCCAAAATCTGCAAAATGTAAATAAAACACTGGGATTTGAACCTGGGCTAACAGGAAAGCTCAAGGTCTTGATTAATATTGCATGCCAATCCATCAGAGCCTGTCGTGGCACACATAATGCTTAGTGCACATGGAGATGGCAGTTGTAGTGGATAGACATTATTTTTTATCCGAGATCACTGATTCCATTCACTGGTCCTCGGGCACCCAGATGGGTCATATGACCCAGGAGTGTTCAGAGAGCTCTTTCAGAACTTTTCTACTGGAGATAATACTGGGGAAATGTTTCTCCTGTGTGGTTCTGGTCAAGATGGCAGAATAAACAAACACTGTGCTCACTGCCTCCCAGGACCACTTCAAAATTGCAACTAAATTACAGAACAACCAACCTTATGAACCACCTGAAGATTAAATGAACAGAAGGCCTATGCCTAAGGATATAAAGAAGAATCTATATCCAGACTGGTAGGAGGGGTGGAGACATGCAACAGGCTGGTCTCTCACTTACGCGTGGCTATTAAGAAACAGGAGGTTGGGCTAGAGAGATTAAAAATGGTGGCAGAGTAAGTGGTTGCTGGACAGAAATGCTCCCAGGAACAAACTGGAATTACAGCTAAAGTACAGAAAAACTTCCTGAATAATCAACAAAAAAGAATCCTGATACCTGAGGACTGAAAGTGGAGACCGCATAGAGACTGGTAGGAGGTGTGGAGGTGCAAAAGGGCTGGCTGGGTGCCCACAGACAGCAACTCAAGTTCCAGAGAGATATCTCAACTGTGGGGGGTTACCACTGAGATCATTGGGATCTAATACCCAAACTGGGCCCCCCAGCAGAGAGCAGCAGAACTGAGAATGGAACCCACATAACATCTGGCTGTGAAAAGCAGCAGGGTTGCTGCCTGCCAGGGAGCAACAGCTGCAAATTCACACACACTCTTAAAGGGCCAATACATAAAACTCGCTGTGGAGTCATCAACCTTGTGCTCTGGCAGAGGGAGGGCAGAATGGGCTGGAGCTATGTGAGCAAAAGCCCGGCTTGGGTACTCAGGGGTTAGAGCTCAGAAGGCAGACACCCCCAGTTTCCTGTGATGAGCTATTCCCTCACACACCTAGCAGAGGACATCTTTCCCACACAGATATTTGCCTTGCTTGGAGGGAAGAGAGTTGACCCACCCTATTGGAAAATACCTTGCCCTGAGGCCACTGAAGAGATTAAAAATAACAATTAGCCTCCTAGAAGAAGCAACTGCCCAACCCTGTTGGAAAAAAAAATCTCACCACACCTGAGGATAATTGCCTGGTGCAATTCTAGTCGGATTTCTATCAGTCTGTAGGAAGAGTTGGTCTCTGGGGGCTTCAAGGCTTTGCCTAATCAAATTAGTCAGGAACAGCATTTGACACTGTGCTGAACTAGAGATTGAGAGGCATAGAGGATATACCTAATACATAGTCACAAATCCAAACAGGCATCCAAAATGAGGAGACAAAGAAACAACCCCCAAATGAAAAAAACAAGAGAATTCTACAGAAGAGATAAATGAAGCAGCGATAAGAAATTTATCTGAAACAGAGTTCAGAGTAACAATGGTAAAGATACTCAAAAGCATGAAAAAAGATATAGTAACTATGAAAACAGAAATAAAGAATGACATAGCACAAATAATGAATACATTGGAAGGAATACACAGCAGGTTAGGGGGAGTTGAGGATCGAATCAGTGAATTAGAAGACAGGGTAGAAAACAATCACTCAGAGAACCAAAAAGAAAAAAAAAATTACAAAAAAAAGAAGGAAAGCATAAGGGATCTATGGGACAATGTGAAACATAACAATATTTGAATATCTTTCCTAGTAAAGGAAAAAGTCATACAAGTTCAGAAGGCAAAAAGAACCCCAAGCAAGAAGAACCCAAACAGGCCCATGCCCACACACATTGTAATTAAAATACCAA